CCCTTGATATGGAGGGTTAGTCTTTGGGAAGCCCTTTTTGTTGTATCACAGAAGTGGGTATTTCCCACAGCCCTGGACTTGAAGGATGTTGCAGGTCGAAAGTGCGATGTTTCAGCCTGGCGCGCGGAATTTGGGGTCGAGAGATGAACGGTTTTTGTTTGACCCTTTTGGCTTCCCAGTATGGTCCCATGCTTTGTCATGGCCCAGGAGAACCGTGTCTTTCTAGGTCTGCACGAGAAAGTTGCAGCGCCGCTTTTCCACCGGCTTGTATTTGGATCGGGCCTCGTATCGTGGAACCTGCAAGAGTAGACCAGCAATTCTTCCGTTGCTCGGTCTAGGAAGCGGACACCATACCAGGTGAGTAGCCAACATCGGAAAAAGAAGAAAAACAACTGCAGGTCGGCAAATGATGTTACCGTCAGCTGCTTTGAGAATGGAGTGCTCAACGCCGAATGCTCTTGGGTCCTTACCTGACTCCCCAAACATGATTCATGCGCAGGTGTGTCTTGTGTGTCTTGGATTGATGACAGCGAGGGGTCATCCAGATCTCCCACACAAATCAGAGGGCCTCAAAATGAAAGAGTTGGGGTTGCGCAGGTTTTGTTTCCATCCAAGGGCCCACAGGTTGGTGCCACTTTTTTTGCGCCACAGCCATGTTATGTTGGGGAAACTTTCGTCATTTTGGTGCACGGGTCATATGCCACTGTGCTGTTTCCCCGTTCATCTAGGTGTCTTTGGCCACTCGCAGGTCTTGGAACTTCTGTGCCGCGGCCAGGAGGAGCGCGGAACGAGTGACTTGCGGGGGTCGAAGCGAGGGAGCGGGCTTAGGTCTCTCACCTGAGAGCCGCGCCTGTGCCGTTGGTTCAGCGACGCGAAATCCAGCCGCTTCCAGCCACCTCTTCAGGTCGCAACCAGTCGAACAGTCAAACTGACGCTCGTGCTCCGAACGTATGGGCGTGCATCACCAAGGCACAGCCCAGAGGCAGTCTGCATATCCCAGCACCAGAGCTACAGCCACGTACATGTATGGCATGTGTGGCAGGTATGGCAGGTATTGTCCGCATGGCACGGGCGGCATGCATGGCATGTGTGCCATGGTTTTCACTTTGGGCATGTCTGTGTTTCTCTGTGTGTGTGTGTGCACTCGTTGGAGCGGGTCCCGTAGGAGCTGACAACGCTGCTGCACCGCCAACATGTGCTGCTGGCAGCCGCTTGTCTCAATGCATTTCTGACGCATGGCATCCCTCTCTGGGCGTTGGCCAGTGATGGTCCACGGCAATCATTGCTTCTTCTTTTTTTTTTTCCGGATCGTAGAAGCTGCAGGAGGGTTTTTGGAAGACTACAGTTCTCTTGAAACCTCCTGTCTACTTCCAGGATTGTTGCAAAGATGACAAGTTGAGTGAACGGTTTTCCCTCGGCGGTTCTGACAAGCTTGTTGGGGTGCAATTTGTTTTCAGCCATCAAATGGGCCCAAAAAGAGTGGAAGGCATCATAATTGTGTGCAGCCGCCCTTGCATTTCTTTGAAGGATTTGGGCAGATCATGTAAAGCCAAGTTTTGATTGTGCCTCACATGAGCAAGAAGGCTTCCAGCCTTGCCGCCCGGTTGCCACGCGATGTGCCCTTCGGGGTTGGTTCACTTCAAGCACGGCTGACCAAAACCCGAGAGGGAACAAAGTTCCGCATGCTCCAGGTCACCAGTGCGCTCCAGCGAACTTACTGGCGATGCCAAGAGAGAACTTGGAACCTTTCCGGACGAGGTGCTTTGATCGGTACATGCCACGAGTGAAAAGACAGATGGGAGACGGAGTGCTGGCTTTCATAAATGTTTATGAGGGTTTGTCTTAAATGGGACTACTGCACCCAAAATCGCACTTGTTGGGCATAGGGTCTGGGGGCCACTTTCTGTGATACCCAAAAATAACAACCATTCCAGGTGACAAAGCGGTCACGGGCATAGTCCGCTTTGCTATCGCAGATTGGGGGTCATTTTCCCATGCCAAACTCTTTTGTTTCTTTAGCTTTTTTCATGGTATCGCAGAAAGGCAAAAAGTGTTTGCCCACGGCCAAACACAGACATGTCCTGCTTTGGCTTTTCTTCACAAACCCAAAACACATACCAAGCAACTCACGGCCGAGGTGAGCAGTCGGCTTCTAGCAGCCACGGCAGCCCGAGGCCTCAGGCCTGCAAGCTGACGGTGCGATAGGATTCGACAAGGGAATGGGCACAGGAGTCCTTGTGATCGGTTAGTTTGGTTAGAAATCGAGGGGTCCCACCGGTTTAGATGGGGTTTGTTCCAAAGGGCCATTCGCATGGATTCCAAAAGGCCACCGATGGGAATGAGTTAGAGTGAATCCGTGTCGGGTTTGGGTCAAGGAAGCCACCGGTGGGATGATTCGTTTGTCTTGATTCCATAACTCTCATTCCCTGCTCGCACCAGCAACCTGAACGAAGGCCCCTTTTGGGTCCCTGTCAAAACGAGCCGTCCGAGGGTCCTTTTCGGGTTCCATGTTTTGTCTTTTAGGAGAGTAAATTCACCTTGGCAGCTGGTGAATTCGCCCCCTGGGGTCATTTACACCACGGACTTTGCAGATGGGTTGAATCTGGTTAAATCAGTTTAGAGCCGCCCTTCCGGCCGGCAATTATGGCCAAAGCCGGGAGAACGCTGGTAAGCTGCCTGTGAAGTGAAGCATTCCTCTTGACGCGGCTTGAGAGCCTCCTGGCGCTTGTGTTCTCAGATCGAGGTAGTATTTCTCAACCATCTGCCTAGATCTTGTCCTTACCATGGCTGATGCAGCCTCATCCAGCACGTCTCTTCAGTTTGAAAAGTGCTGGTTTTTCGATCGCTGCCGCGAACATGCCAAGCACTATTTCGAATGCTCCGTTTCTGGGTGCCGCGGTCCTGACCCTCAAGGCTTGCCCACGGAAAGCTCGCGTATTGCCCTGTGCGCGCGGTGCGCTCGTGGATGCTGCCCCTTTTGTTCAGCCTCGGTCCAGCACGAGGACCTGCGTTCGCTCACCGACCAGCCAGCCACGGCTACGTTGACCTCTGACCCAGAGCTTTGGCAGGGCGCCGTTCAGAGGCGGAGCGAGCACCAGACATTGGGGCAGTTCAACAAGAACTTCGAGGAATTGGCGAATGAGGTGCAGAGGCAAATGAGGGCGTTGGCCAAAACTCTTGCCATGAGCGCCAGCGAGCGTCCAGAAATTGCCAATCTACTGGAAGACGCTGAGGCTCTTTTCCGTGGCCTCGCTGGGAAGGGGTTGCAGCCAGATCGTGACACCTATCGATGGCTGATATCTCTCTATGCCCGGGCAGAACGCCGGGAGCAGGTGGAACAGTGGGCCTATAAGATGGAGGAGTCTGGGAATTGTAGCACAGAGGCCTACAATTCGGTCATGTTCGGTTTTGCAGTGCCTCACGGTGTTGACCGTGCCGACATGTGGTTTAACCGCATGCTTCAAAACGACTGTGTCCCAGATGTCAAAAGCTACAACATCCTCATTCAGGCTTGTGCCAGATCAAGAGACTCTGCCCGCGCACACCTCTATTTTGAGCGCATGCAGGTTGCCAAACTCAAGCCAGATGATTGGACGTTTGGCCATTTGATCAGGACCTGCGCCAACGAAAAATTCAATCCCCGTAGTCTGCAGAAAGCCGAAGGATTCTGGAGGGACATGCAGCAAGCTGATGTGAAGCCAAGCGAGTTCACATGCAGGGCAATGTTGCAAGCATGTGCCAATGCTGGCAACATTTGCAGAGCATCGTACATTTTCTCAGAAAGCGTAAAAGCTGGATTTGTTCCCGATGTGGTAACCTTCACCACGATGATCTCAGTGTTCATCATGAAAGGTGATGTGCAAGGGGCTGAGGAGTGGTTTTCCAAAATGCAAGCAGCTGAGGTAAGCCCCAACGTGGCAACTTTTAGTTGTGTGATTCGAGTGTGCGGCACAGCTGGCGATGAGCGGAACGCCTACAAATGGCTTGCGAAACTGGAGGCGGCCGGATGCAAACCCAGCAAGCACACATACGAAGCTCTCATGATCTGCGGGATAAATCGGAAGGATTTTGGGCAGGCGGATGTATGGCTGCAACGCATGTTGGATTCAGGGGTGACGTGGACCATCAAGACTTTCCATATCCTGCTTCAGGCTTGTGAGCGCTTCGGCAACCTGTCTCAAGCCGAGAAGTGGTTCAATGCCATGATGGAAGCTGGAGTGCAACCAGATGTTGAGGCATTCAACAGCTTGTTGAGGACCAGCGCAACGTATGATTCATCCAGATGGCGACGCATGACGTGGCAGAGCGAAGAAAAGAAGAAATGGTTTTTGAAGATGTGCAAGTCAGGTGTGCAGCCCAATGAGGCAACCCATGACATTCTGACCTGCTCCTTTTCAGTTGGCCGAGCTGTGGTCTTTATTGGCTGCCTTGCGCTCGCATCTCTGTCGCTTGTGCTGCTACAAAACAAAAATGGCCGAGCGATGGGGTACTTGTCGCCCCAGAGAGCGAGCGAGAGCGAGCGAGAGAGGGGGCATCGCGGGGCAGCCGCAGAGGTAAAGTTGTGTATCTCTGGAGGAGAGTCCCAACGGATTGGGCCATGCAAGACCAGGGTCTTCCTCGGCAGCTCCTCTGGAGTTTTTGGATCCAAAGGGCGAGGTGGGGAGGTGATTTTCCGCGGCTTCAGATGGCTGTTACTCAAAATGGTCCCCTCCAGGTGGTTTGTTTGCCTCTCTTGAGACAGACCCAGATTGAGATGGATGAAGCCCTACTTGTCGGAATGTTAGGATACAACACCTACCGACCTGGCTTTTTGTCCATCCAACGCCTGACTTCAAGTCTCAACAGTATGTCGTCAAAATAGGGTGCCCCCCCAAAAAACTCGATCTTGATTTTTCTTCGGTTTCCCTTGAAACCGACACGGGTACCGGACCCAAAAAATCCCGTGGCGGAACGCGTCTGAGGCCCAGCCGGCTCCCAACTGGCGGCCCTATGCCGCCCTGATGGCCGGGTCAACCAAGCGCACCCAAAGCGCTCGAGTGGGTATGGGTCAAAATTCAACACCAGGGGACCGCACATTTTAGTCCATGTTTCCGATCACCAGGGTTCCATTTTGAGCACACCTATGTTTGACCCACAGCCAAGTCAGGTTGCAGGATGCAGTCCCCTCCATCTCCTTATTTGGAACCACCACTTGGCGTGAACTCATGGAGATAGACGATTGCTAACGTTTGGTTGCAGGATACGGTAGCGTTTCTAATCCACCGGAAACCAGAACCTAAGCACTCCCTCCGCCAAGAACCAATCAACCCTAAATCAGGGTTGCCGAGCCATTTCCCAACTTTTCAGTTACCTCCAACAGTCGCCTTACTCGCTTCCATGGAAGCCAGCAGCAAATTGCTTTTGATTTGGGGAAATCATTCGAGACCCCTGTGCTGTGGATGGACTTGTGATGGAAGCCCTGTGACTGGGATAAAACATCCACAGTATCAGCAGTCAGCTCGAGACTTCCACTGCAAGTTAAGAACAGTATGGGTGTCTAGATCAGTCGATATCGGTTAGAAACTGAGTGGCTGGGTCAGTTTCTCCACTGGCATCAGCTTGGTGCTATTCGTTTCTCAATGGATCTATGTTAACTTGGTGGCTCCCAGCCATCCCCGCAGCTTTTTAGCCCTTTAGTGTTTAGTGGTAGTTTCCATTTAAGCCACTAAAAGTGAGTCACTTTTAGCGGGGGAACCCAGCCCAATTAAAAGGAGACCCAGGCTTGCGCCGTCTTGGCAACTTCAGAACGAGAGGTGCCCTGCTAGGGAGCAGCTGGCGGTTTTTCGCGGGGGTAAGAGACGGGCATGGTTCAGAAAGGGGGAATGAGCACCAGGCATGGGGTTGTCTCATTGGAACCTTCCCACCCCAAAAAGGGGACCATGACTTCACCGTTTGGCATGTTTGTATTTTTCCCCCATTTGGTGAGTTTGTTTTTGCCACCATAGGGTTGCAAAGAAGAAGAGACACAGCCTTGCCCTTGGGTCACTTGGGAATGCGTGGATTCCACCGGTTTGGGTTTGATCAAGATAAGGTTTGCCGGTTTGCCTCCAAAGGTAACTCTCGAAGCTGGGAAAAAAAAGACGAAAGAAAAGAACAGAGAGAGACAAACAACATCAAGCAAAAAGATCCCCCATGGGCTCCAGATACTGTGGACACACTGCTGCACCCGTTGGTATGTGGTTCATCCCTCCATTTCTTGGGATTCATCTATCGAAAGGTTCAACCGGCGAATTGTCTGGTTCCTCAGGCTTTTTGAGTTGTTTTCAGTTGGTGTGTCCGCACGAAAAAAGACCACTAAACCACTGGGTACCAGTCAACTAAACCTAGTTTTCAGGTTTTGGAGTTGGTTTAGTGGTTGGGTTTCCCATGGAACAAGCTCAACGAGAGGGTCTGATCTTCCTCTCGCTTCGAAGGTGGGGCTCCTGGAGGCGCTCATGGCCGAGAAGGCGCCGAGATCCGCAGTGGGATCGGCGACTTCGGCGGTTTTCTGGGGTGGTGTTCTGGTTGCGTTTCTCTTTTTTTTGGGAAGGACCTCAGAAAGGCGTGGCGGCTTTTCCTTTTGGTCTCCCTTTAAAACCGTTCAAAGAGGGGTGCCAACTCAAAGAAATATGACGAGCCACCCATGTGTGGTTTGTGATGGCAGACGATGCCCCCTATGAAAGGTATCGGTGCATGCTCTTTGCCAGCTATCACATCCCACGTAGATCAGGAGCCCCCTTTCGGAGAACACATTCTTTCGGCCCCATGCCATGTGAATCTGCAGGCGAGCAACATTAACAGTCTTTTTTTGGTTTGGACCTCTGAGCTCTGCCCCTGGCCTCCAAGCTTTTCTGGGCCCGCGGACACCTGGGAGTTGATGCATATTTCCTTCGACCCCTGAATGACCATGGGTAACTTTTCCCATTTGGTACATATCGTTTGAGCGGTTTCCCAAGCAAAAAGGTCCCATGTACGGACCTTTTCATCAACCATAGCGGCTGCCTCTCGGGGTGTCTCCCATTGACATGTGAGCCAGAATCAAAACCCGGGTAGATGAAGGTTAGCAAGGGACAATCTCAACCACAAATAGCCGCGGCTCTCCGCCTTCTTGATTCTTGAAGCATGGTGGGTCGACCGGTCAACCATTTTAATACCGGGTTTTGAGTTTACGACTCATATAACCACCATTTGAGGATTGTCATCATCCAAATTGGGTCAACCATTCTTTTAATCATACAACCATGGTGACAATTACCAAACCACCATTCTTTTGCTGTCAGCCTTGCCCCGCCTCCTGCGAGGACACGGAGCGCTTCAGGCTGGCGGATCCGGCGCTGTTCATCCCGGTCTGGTCCTGCCAGACACCCAGGGGGCGCGGTCCGGGCGTTTTCGGGCTTGGCGAGTAGGAGTTTGAACATCCAAGCAAGGGTGGCGCGATGTGATGATGGACCACATTGTTGGTCGTTTCTTCTTCTGCTTCTTCTTCTTCTTCTTGTTTTGTTCCACGAAAGTCTAGTCTTCCCCGTTCTCTTGTTGCTTGTGAGAAGCAACAGTGATTTGCGGGTGACCTGAGAGTTCATTTCTGCAGCCCGATGACGGAACTTTGATTGAAAGGATGGAGGATGGGTTGCAACCCATGCCCTAAGCCACCTCACAATCCACCAACCAAGCCAACCAACCAACCAACAAGCCAAACAAGGAAGCCCAGGCTTCCCTGCAAGCCGACGCTTGGCGTGTTCCGCCATTTTTTTTTTGTTGGTATTTTTGCTTATTGTGGTTAAGTGGTTGAAATCCAGCCGCTTAACTGCTCAAATTTGAGAATTGTTGCTCCCCAAACCCAACGTCAACCAAGAGAAGCTGCTCGACATGTGCAGACCCTGGGTTCCCGGGCCTCAACAAGACCCATGGCTCTGAGAGGAAGGCGGCACGGCTGGCCGAAATGTCTTCCATTGGCTGAAATGAATATTTTATTCATTATCATTTGTTTGCCCTTGTTGGTTGGAAAGGGAATTCATTCACAGTTTTTTGTACTTTCCCCTTGTTGGTTGAAAGGGAAGCGATTTCACCCGATCTATTTTCCCATTTTTCCAGGAGGGCCCTAAACGGAAAGGGAAGATGCGAGCTCGAGGCCGGCGGCAGGAGGTGACGCGGCAAGCTTTGCTGGCAGTGCTGGAAGAGGCGGGAGTTCAAGTTGGGGCCTCTTAGGTGTCCTTTGTGTCAGGTTGGCTGAATCTACGTGGATTCTGTCAGTTTTGCTCTACTTTGCCAGGGGAATGCATCTATGTTTCCATGTCACGGATTAAGAGCCGAAAGATTCTGAGACTCTTTCTAGGCACCCCTTCGAACGGGGCTTGTGGTGCGGGTTGAACGCGGGTCACCTGGAGACTCCACAGGGCGGTGCCGAAGTTGGGCCTTTCGAGCCTTGGCCAAAACCATTGACCCTGTGCCGGGACCCGGGACCCATCTGTGGTTGTCATAAGAAGGGTCCACGCGGCCTTTGAGCAAACTGCTTGGGTCACAAGAGACGACCAAGACAAAGCCAGCAGAAACCTAGGTGTCCTTTTTGGTTGTTTTGGTCGAAACATAGATGGCGATTCCTGGTTTACCTGGTGGTTTAATCATCTACCAGGGCCATCTATTTCCCCTAAAAGGACGCCTACGAGCAGAACTTTCCGCACCAATGGGCGACCCGGCTGTTTGGTCAGGGTGGCGCCACCATGCCTGGCGCCCCGGAGGGTCGAGATAGAAAGCTCATGAAGGTCCTTCGCCTGGGGAATTTTCATATGAGGGTGCCTGCTTTTAGGACGCCCCCCCCCCCCCCAAATAAGTAAATATATAGATATACACACATAAATAAATCTATGTTTATACATATGCACTAAACAAGAGTTGGAATAATTATGTTTTTCTTTCTTCAAAACAAGCCACAAAAGGGGCTCCCCCAACAGAAACACCCATATATGCGGCTTTGGGATTATTGTGGAATTGCCGATCCCATCTCTCACGAAAGCGTAAATTGTGTGGTCCAAGAGACACAAAGGCTGTGCCGTGTTGACCCCGCGGCAGACTTGATGACTTGATCTTGTAGCTTCAACGTGCCACATGATGACTTATCTTGGTGGTTCCCATCCATCCCCTTCAGGTTTTGTCATTTTAGCTTTTTAGGGTAGTTTAGCGGGGTTCCATTTGACACACAAGTTAGGCACGTTTAGCAGGGGATCAGAAAACGGACAGCCCAGTTATGTCAAGTCGTACTGGCTTTCCAATGAGCCAACTGCTTCAATGAGCGATTCCGCTTCCATGGGCCATGGTCCTCCAGATCTGGCTACTGTTCTCTTGAAAAGGGAGGGATGGCCCGTTGGGCCCTGAGGATGCAGGGGGGCCCAGGTTCAAGTTGAAATCATCGCCAGAAGTACCCGACCGTCCTTGAAAGATGGTCGTTTCCGCTCAAAGGAGCCGTCTGGCGGATTGTATTTATTTGTCGAATAAAAATAGCTCTTGAGAAGCGGTAGCTACAAGCTTGTTAGATTCTTAAGTCGGACAAGTACAGATGATGAATTTAGTGTTGGGGCACTTGGGCATGACACATGTCTTGTGTAGATGCCCAACTCTCCTCGCTTTCAAGGATGAGCCAAGGGGATTTGACCACAAGCGAACACGATGAGCAAATTCGAGGACGTTGGCCCTGTTGTCTGCCAAGGCAAGCCAAATCGTGCAGGTGCACGTATTGGTCGCCCATTCCCTGCCTTTGCGCTTGAGTTTTGGGCCTCACTTTTTCCCCAGCTGAAAGCTTTGGGGCCTCAGCCCAACTCCATGCCCCGAGGTTGCATGCCTCGGCGCTGAGGGCCCTGACGCACCTGGCCAAGCACTCATCCTCCGAGGCGTCCGCTCGGCCGGGCGCTGCATCCATTGGCGCGAAAACTGAGACACGTGTCTTTGCTTGCAAAGATGGGAACCAAGTCCTTGACGTTCTGGTGTGCTA